CGCTGCGGTAACAAACGCAGGCAGACTGCGGTAACAAATGCAGGCAGACTGCGGTAACAAATGCAGCAGACTGCGGTAACAAACGCCGGGCAGTGTGTTAGCGCTGCGGTAACAAACGCATCTGGTGGCGCGTTAGCGCTGCGGTAACAAACGCACTGCCCCTGCACGCTGCACGACAGCCGAGCGCTGCGTTCCGGAGCTGCCGGGTGAGGCAGTCTGCCTGAGGTCACCATGCCCAGGTGTCTCACCACCTGCAACGGACATAGCTGTGCATGGCGGCTATGGAGTTTTTGTCTAACGCTACCGACGTTTGCGTTGGGAGCAGGGGCGGCGTGCTTTTATACGCTGTTTGTAACCGGGATCGGCACGTCTGGTCTTTAGACTCGGAGCTCTATGATCGGCATCTCTATCTGTCGCGGTTGCGATTGCGATTGCTGCTTCGCTGCACGTGGTCCTGTCATCGACTGGCCTGGGGAGTGAAGCTTGTCGGAGCATGACGAAGCTCTGCCTGTGGATTGGCCTCAGCAAGTCGGACCGTGATGGGCGATTGTTGTTGCGGGCGATTGGCTGTGTTGCCGAGCAGGAGAACTCAACTGTCGCTTTCGCTGAGGTGTCGACTCTTACCGCGGAGTACTATCCGTTTTAGGAAAACGATCGATTTCGTCCGTAGGGTGTGCCGTATTTTAGGCGACTGTGTTTTGCTTGCTGTCCTCTACGATTTGCTTTCACTTTTTCTGTTTGTGTTAGTTAACTTTGTTTTGGTTTCCTTGTTACAATGGTAGTGATTGTTAAGGGTTTAGGGTTTAGGGTTTAGGGTTTTGCCCTCAGTGGGCTTTGGCGCATTCGGGCAAGTCCAGGGTGTTGTAGAGGCCAGTTAGTACTAGGCTCACATTGATCGCCGGAAGCTGTCAGCCATGGTTGGTTGCCCTGAAGAGATGAGGCTACCCCCCATCCCAACCTCGCGTCAATACTCCTAGCACACCCCCTATTTCGTTTTTACCTTTCCCTTTTTTTTTTTTTTTTTTTTTTTTACTATCCTATCTTAGTGTGACCAGCGCTCAGGACCGTTACCCTGGTGTTCTGTTGAGAGGGGTCTTTCGGATTAATATACCTAATTCGGCGTTTTGGAGTACCTGTCGTGTTTTTCGAGAACGGGAATTGGGACATAGGAATTGATGGGAACCCTAATTTCGAATTTTGTTCGAGTATTTGGACTTGGGAACTATTAC